TTACAATAAATGCAGATGGAGTTTTTCTGATTAATGTATACTAACCAATTACATTAAATTAAAAATAAATATATGATAAATGTCAAAGCAATACAGTTGTCATGTGTATGAGAGATAGAAATAAATTACCACAATAATTGTTAGTGGTAACTGAGGGCTGCTTTAATAAAATGATCATTTAGGCACTGGTCCAGCATACATGTGTTCATTTCAAGCAGCCAATTAGTTCATAGAAAATATCAAAAATATATTTTTATGAACCTGATTGGACGTTTGAAGTCAGCTTGTGGTCGCTGGGTCTGCATATAAAGTGCTCCTACTGTAAACAATCTATTTAAAGTGAATTTGTAATATATAAAATGAGTGCATGGTGCTGTGGAGTACAGTAGAATAATTTTAAAAAAATAATTAATAAAATGCCGGTCTGGAAAAGATGCTTAAAAGCAAAAGGGAAGAAGCTTGCTATTCCTGTGGTATCAGCACATTAATTTCACTGTTCATCAGTTCCCAGCAAAGAAAAAGGGCAAATTGAGGAGAGTTCATGAAATAAACAGAAAGCTCTCTTAGGAGAACATGCACTTCACTATATTGGACTTGGTGAATTAATGCTAGCATAATGCCCACCAAATTAAAGGCCCCACATCCTAGTAAATAATTTAGGAGAAGAAGACAAGCATCCAACCATATTGGCCCTTGTGTGTGTGAATTTGGTAGGAACAATATATTGTGGCTCCTTCTTAGGAAATGGATTGATGTGAATAGCTCTATGAACTCTGTAATGTGTTATCACTATATAAACATAATACATAAATAAAACCACAAACATTTGCCAAAGTTGCATCTCTTTTGCTATTTCCTCTACTGATAAATATGTCTAAATGCAGAAATCACTTTCACTTTTAGGTTAACCATCTATGCAGAGTAATTAGCTGTGAAAAATTAGGGGGGTTTGGTTTCCCTTTTGTTTATAGGTTGCCTAGAACTGCATTAAAGCTGTGGGAATCAGAATTATCTACAGGGATGTGCTTCTGGATTCAGCAGAGAATTATTCAACATGACTTCTACCAAGCTAATTTTTTTTTGTTTTTATATTACACAGTAACATTGACAGACTTAATGAAAACGCATACCTTTATCTAATTAATGAAATGCTCCATGTCCAAAAGCACCCTACTTGGTGACAGAATCAGTTTAATGTTAATTAGTTTAATAAGAATACAGAGAAGAACATGAATTGTTTTGAAAGAATACTGAATTGTTTTCTTTTAAATAAGCACATATTATGAAACAATGTTTTTCATATTTTGAGCAATACGTGTGCATTGTGCTATATGACAAATGAATGCTGGTTATACTTTGTAAACCTACAGGTTGTTACTGTTACCATTTAATTATTAATTATTCCATATTATCTATTTAACAAAACTTTTACAGTAGAGAGATTACTTAAAACTTGCCCGCTCTATTAAAGGTAGCAAAAGCAAGTCAGTCAAATGTGAGCAAACGATTTATAAAAGTTAATGGCTGCACCCACTTGGCAATGTACAGAGCAATGAAATGAGTGTGGGAGAGGAAGATAGAGAGGAAGAGTGGGGGAAAGAGAGACATTGTGCAGGGAGAGGGGAAAATAGAATAGAATTAGAATAAGTACAGATTTGTGTATCATTTGTTATAGGTATGTATATAGACAATGTACACAGTAAACAGTTTACAAACAAGAAAAATAGTAACCTGTCTTTATTGTTATCATCCTATCAATAATATTCAGTGTGGCAGTGATAAGAACTATCTAAAAATCCTAGTGTGCCAGCCAGTTTTATTTAGCCCTGCAGTGGTTAGCCCAACATTCTGTAGCTATACTGTGTCCCTATTTTTTTTTTCTATGACTTATGTCCTCTGTTTCATTTTTGTATTGCACACCGCAGCACACGTTTCTCTAATTATAGGTCTCTTTGAAAATATTTTAGACATACTCCCTGCATGTTTCTTTTTACTTTTGTGCTTGAGACATCTATTTTCTGCTCTCTCTCATGCTTCTCTGGATCTTTCTGCATTTCCTGACCATTTATTTCCCATTAATAAGCCATAAAAAACGTCCATATACTTCCCCTTACCTAGTATACACCCTATAGCCTCTGGCTTGTTTATTTCCACTCAGTCTGTCGTCTGCTGCTGATGGCATCTCACCTGTACGATCCATCTTGTCCTGTCTTCCCAATATTTGAGCTCTTTCCTCTGAAATAAAGTTGAGCTCTTATGCATACATAGCCCCTCCACCTTCCCATTGTAGCCAGCATCCCCTGCCCTAGCCCATGTAAACACATGTATTGCACTCACTGCAGGGTGATCTCTATTGATTCTGTTTGTTCATTAAGATCTATCTTCATGACACCAGACAACAAGCCCAGATAATAAACTCATCACCCTGGGTTTATGAACTTAGCTGTGCTTATTTCTTGCATCCAGATTTACAAAGGATAAAGAAAGCTCGTTTTAAACAGTGGTCTGCTGGTAAGAATTATCTGCATTATGAGCTGGATAGCTAGACATATGCACGTATTACGTAGATATATATATATA